CATATTCTTAGCCGTGTGCGGTGCCCCCTTCCACCATAACCCTCGATAATATTGTAGCGGTGCTTAGGCGAAGCCCTGCGACGGTAGAACATCAAGATCGTCACCACGCCGTCGTGCTGATGGAACTCTTCCCCGACACTTTGCTAGATCGGAGTCCGGGGATCGTCATCGAGCTGAACGTGTGCTAAAACTCGGAGGTGCCATAGTTTCGGTGCTTGATCGGTCGGGCCGTGAAGACGTACGACTACATTAACCGCGTTGTGCTAACGCTTCCGCTGTCGGTCTACAAGGTTACGTAGATCACGCTCTCCCCTCTCGTTGCTATGCATCACCATGATCTTGCGTGTGCGTAGGAATTTTTTTGAAATTACTACGTTCCCCAACAAAAAAAGGCCCAAGCCACCACTTAGGCCAATGTTATCGACAGCAAAACATCCACCAAAACCTAGCTGATTCTGCAAAGCTTCAACTTTCTTCCCTTTTATTTTTGTTTCCATGACAAACAGGAGAGTGGGGCCTTCCAGCTTCACGATGCTGTGAAGCTCTCAAACTGCCTTGCGGTTCCCAAGCCCCCAGCAGTTCCAACTAATACAACTCACTGGGCCGGGCAGGACCGATCGCCGATCTCTGCCGAGTTTTTTGGTGTACGCTTCTTCTTCTTGGGCTCTTTAACGAACTCATCGCCATCTTCCTGGCCAGATGTGTTTGTAGCCGAGTCCTCTTGAGCATCAGTGCTCGTAGTAGCCGTAAGCAGTAACTGCTTGGGCTTGTATACCGCTGCAGGGGCATCCTTTCTCTTATTTGTGTGTCCTCTCCTTGTTTTTCACATGCGAGACTACCTCGTCCTCACCATCAGGTTTGGTCTTGGTGCTCGAATTCCTTGTTCCCTGTTTGCTAGGGTCTGAGTTTTGTCCCTTGGACGAGTTCTCACTAGCTGCTGGTATTTTGTGTTCCTCAGGGGCTCTCAACATCGGGCCAAAAGGCAGTTCACCCTTCTCATCCCTCGTACCTGGGTTCTGGCAGCACAAATCAGAGTGGCCAAGGCGTCCACATGAGAAGCAGAAGTAAGAATCCGCTCATACTGGATATCATAGGAATCCACCGTCTTCCTTGCTGAATCAATAAGGATCCATCTTCGAAGAGGCTTGTCAACCTTGATGGTAACTCTGGTACGAAGATAACCTCCATTATGATCAAACTTTGCACTTTCAGCTCCCTTATCAATCATCTGCGCGATCGGTAAAGATCATGCATCATCCCTCAAATTGTAGGCCAGATTTAAAACCCTAGCCCACACATGGAGCTTGTCAAACTTGACTTCATCTGGGCGCATGCAGTCGTCAAACTCGGCCAAGATCACCGCGTGTTTATTCAGGTGCCACGACGATCCGACCCAAATCCTATCTCGGTCTCTCTGGGTCTCAAACTCTGCAACGAACATGTTTGTCCCCATCGAGCGAAATTTCAATCCCCTCAAATTATCCCAAGCCGGTCGAAGAGCATTGCCAATGGTCTGGATATGGTATTGGTGGTGTAGGATCTTGTCAGCCAGGAGCCACTTCACCGGACATCCGTCAACGTGATCATCAATCACAAGCGGAGTTGCTTCTTCCTCGGAGATGTACAACTTCCCCAAGGCTTCCTCGAGTTCTGACCTAGCTGATCTAGGGTTGTTGGTGCCCGGGTTCCCTTGCGCACCGGCAGACGGGGAGGATGTTGCCATCGTCCGCGTCGTCGGGCTTGTGGCAGCCCGCCGATGGGATCAGCGGCCGTCGATCAGTTTCCACGCAGAGGAGCCCTTAGGTTTCGGGGGAAAAAGTTTTGTGCGGGACAATCTCTCCCGCGTGTTTGCCAACCGCCCCTGCGTATAAGGCTGGGTGTACGTACTAGATGCTTTACATGCGGTAATGATGTTGTCTCTACGGAACAGTGTACAAAAGAAATTATTTTGTCTATCCGCTTTGAAAAGGTTTCGTAATTTTGAAATATACATATAATTGCCTTGTATCACTTATTCTATTTGCATATCTTCACATAGAAAATTACATCAATTAATTATGTTTATATTTTTTGAACACGGTATTGACGCAAGCGCTCATACATACGCACATACACTCAACCATATGAACGCACACACGCACACCTTACCCTATGAGCATCGTCTCCTCCCACTGAAAGCGCATCGCGAAAGTCCTGAAATAAATCCAGGAATAATGCGAGCACCGGGATTTAAACCCTGATGGGCTGGGAATACCACTGCCACTCTAATCATCCAACCATATGTGCTTGAGTAGGAGTGTGGATTAAACGTGTGGATGTTGATATATCCTAAATGTATCTATATTTTTGGACACAACTACAATTTTGATGCCTGATTTTTGACAATGGCAAATTAAATTTTTTATGGCAATTTATGTTTGTCGATGATGACAGGTCTAGTAGACAAGCGTAACAAAATCCGCCTCAGTTCGTGCTTGTAAACTAAATTTGTCATCCTCGCGTTGACATAAATTGTCATAAAAACGTTTAATTTTCGCGCTTGAAAATTTGAAGTCGGCTTTTTAACATTACCGATATCTTTTTCTATATTCATGTCATATGAATTAAGGGTTTATAGTAAGTGAAATAACATTTGTTGTCCTAAGTGGGTTTTGGTGTAACGACATATGGATTAAGCACTAACCATGTGTTATAAAGTGCCTGTAAGGTTTGTTAGTCTAAAAGTTGGCAGTCAAAGGTGGATGGTCACCCCCACATCGCTAAAAGAGAGAATAAGGACGTCACACTTAAACTATGCATCTTTTTTTTCCTATGATCACGAGTCATAGGATAGCCTCGACTTGGCTTTGGATCCTTGCAAAGCGGAAAACCTTGCCCGGAAGGAGCGGCACCGGAGGCAGCACGAGCATGAGGCAGCAGAGAAGATAGCGTCATATGGTTGTCGTGCTACATTGGATTTTATTTCGTGGTTTTGTAACGTCCTCCGTTAACGCCGGCGTTAACGGATCGCATTATCTGGTGTTTGTTTAAATCGCTCCATAATCCCATATCACGTAAACAGATCTCATCGTAGTCTTTGATTGATTATGCCCGAACCTCTCCGTTAATGCATCGCGTTACCAGCCGAGCAAGCCCCTGATCGAAGCCCTCCCTCCGCCTTTGTTCTCCTCCATCACCACCAGCGACCCCGCATGATCTCCTCCTCCGACGAACCCCAATCTTCTCACCAGAAACCCCCCTGCCCCGAGGTCCATCTCCACTTCCGCCTCCCACCATTCCCCGTCTTCCCAAAGTCGCCTCCACCTCCGCCCCTTATTTTCTCCCCGGCCCAAGATCTACCGATGAGGAGTATGGATAGCCCATCATCCGACCTCGTTCTTTGCAAAAACCAGAACGAGGAGCGGCAGCCGCCGCCGGTCACCACCGGCCATTCTTTTGTTCACGTCGTCGTACTCATCCGTCATCACCCCTCCCAAGATCTGTACGTGGAATTATACAACACACTTCTGATGTATTCACGTTATAGTGCCAAAACAAACACTGTGAAGTAAATTGATAACGTTACTACTCTGGCACAAACAACCCCTCACATGGATCGTTACAACTTCGATCCCATTGCGACCTGATACCCTTATCGTTTGCGTTACTGTCCAGTGAAACAAACACCTCCATTATCTTTGTATCGTTGAATATATGATGAATTTGCATTGTATGATCGCTGTGTATGGATTTTCATGAATTTGGGTATCAAGATTTGAGTAGTGCGGTTGTGGAGAGGGCCAAATTAAGACCTGCCCGACGCTGTCCGCTGGCGTATAGGGCTCTGGATTAGGCAATTCCGGTTGTAGATGTTCTAAAAAAGTTGAAGTTGGAACTTTAAAATTCAAATGTTATAAAAAATCTCGAACACACCAATCCACAGTGACGATAGAAATTTGTGGCATCGCCTCAGGCAGGCACGAACAAAACAATGCCCATACACCTTTTTTTTTGTATGGAATGCCCAGGCAACTCCAGGAAGTGAACGAAACACGCTCGCTGTGCTAGAAAGTGGCGGCCCACCAACAAGCCGCACTTTCCAAGCTTCCTCCCAGTCGTAGCCCGGCAGTCTTCCAGAAGGCCCCGATTGACTGATCCCCGCGTCGCCGGCCGCCGTCCCCAGCGTTTCTCGCCGGCGGGCATGTCGCTGGAGCTGAGCATGGCCCTGGCGGCGCCGCCGGGGGGCGGGCTGCTGGCCCCGCCCCCTCCCGCCCCGCCCGGCAAGGAGCAGCAGGTGGCAGGGGTGGGGATCCTGCTGCAGATCTCCATGCTCGTGCTCTCCTTCGTGCTCGGCCACGTCCTCCGCCGCCACCGCTTCTACTACCTCCCCGAGGCCAGCGCTTCGCTCCTCATCGGTATGTTTACGTCACATCACGCACGCACGCCTCCGCGGCCGAGGCGACTGCCTGACCCTTGCGTCTGAACCCTAACCCTGGTCGCCGGCTGCTCGCACCTCTGATCATTTCGTAGATTCTGGAAACTTCTGTCTTAGTTCTGATCATGTTAGTTGCTCTACCCCGTTTCGTCCTTGTTTGGCCTTAAGCTGGCACAAACCGCACAGAAGAACGGGATAATTAGTATTTCTGCTAACTTTAAACTAGGCTAGTGGCAGGGTCTGTTGTCTTGCTATCAGATTGACTATACTTGGGTTTTAAATCCATTCATAGGATGTCATGCCACTGGGAATGCGAAAAACGTTTGTCGGTGAAAATTCATTCGAGGGCTCTCACCCGACTTGAATATAACTGTAAATTCCAGTTTCGAGTTCTTTGATATACTCCCTCCATTTCGAAATATAGGTCTTTCTAGAGATTTCAACAAGTGACTACATACGGAGCAAAATGAATGAATCTGCATTCTAAAATATGTCTATATACATTCGTATGTGGTAGTCTTTTTGAAATCTCTAAAAAGACTTAGATTTAGGAACGGAGGAAGTATATCATTAAAAAATAGCAACTAGTTTGATGTTCTCTGTTTCAGAGTGACCCAGTTTAAGATAAGATAATTGTTCAAAATGTGCCATCATTTTGATGCAGTCCAACAGTAGCTCCTCATTTGATCAAGGAGAAGCATTGAATAAATATGTGCTTCCAGGAAGTCTTCCATCAAATGAGCAAACTGATATTTGAACAAGAAAATAAATTGAGATCTCCGATTGCTCTATTGTATATTATACACCAGTTTCGCAGTTCCTGTTTTCATTTCATTTCATTTGTTATATTGGGGGCATTTTTTGACTTACGGAACTTTCATGACTGTATTACAGGACTAGTTGTTGGTGGGCTTGCTAATATTTCAAACACAGAGACCAACACTAGGTTTGTGTTGATTGTGTAATCTTGTTCTTACTTGGACTTCTGCATCATTTGTGTTGTGTTTACTGTAGTCTAGATCTTACACACAATGTTCGCATGTTCCACCTGATCATGCTTTGTTCCCTCTGATTTGCAGGACATGGTTCAACTTCCATGAAGAATTCTTCTTCTTGTTCTTATTACCTCCTATAATATTATATCCTTTTTCTTCAGTTTTCTCTCTTTTAATATTGTTAGTACCTTGGTGTGCAAAATAGGCTTCCTAACTTGCAACTTCCCCAAATACTTCTCTAACCCTCCTAACTGGAATATTTCTCTTTTCCAAATTGAAACTTGTATTCCTTGACTTAAGTGAACCCAATCAGGATTCAGCTTATCCCCAGTAAGTACTGTACATTGATAATACTTTCTTTATCTAAGCTACTTGTCCTAAGACGTCTCTTTACAGAAACCATTCTTTGCCAACTTTGGGGCTATTGTAACTTTTGCCATTCTTGGGACATTCATCGCTTCCATCGTAACAGGGATGCTTGTGTAAGCATAACAAACTTCATTTGTCTACTTCTATTAAAATCTCTTTCATCTTCTAAGCCTATATCTGTTTTCACTGCAGCTATCTTGGTGGACTCACATTTCTAATGTATAAACTTCCACTGGTTGAATGTCTTATGTTTGGCGCTCTTATATCCGCGACTGATCCTGTCACGGTATTATCAATATTCCAGGTGCCTGCCATTTCTTTTCTCCATCTCATTCTTAGACCTGTATAGTTAGCTATATTTGTTCTGTGTCAGTTTTACTCTGTAGCGATTTAATGTTGTTTGTCGGCCTTTGCGCCTTTGTTCCCAAGGACTTCGGAATGTTGTAGTGATTTAACTGATGTTGAATGCAAATCTTAGTCAGGAACATATCACTATATCAGAAATAAGTCACTTGTCCCTGTTGTTTGAAGAAATGTCAAGGATCTTATTTCCTAGTTTTCCGCTAGAAAAGGGATTCCCTCATGCCTGAAAAGTGAAGCATCATGCTTCTAATGTAGGTAATACTTAGTAAGTATGTTCCATTGTGCTAGTCTGAAAGTCCATATTTCCTCTCGCGGTCTCGCCTGCAAGATGAAGCGTCGTAGCATAAATATTAATGTCAGCGTTGCTTTTTAATTACTGCGGGCTTAGCTATTGAACTACCTATAAGCCACATCATATGCACTCGGTAATATGTAGAATGTCTTGCTGCTTAGCTGAATGGTTGTTTATAAGCTTGCAAATTTGCAACTCAGGCCAACCCGAGTTGCAGTGCTCAATGATTGCGAACAGCCAGAAGACTGCAAATCTCAGCTGGAAAATATAAACTGTTCTGTAAGGACATATTATTTGTCTTAGGTGCTGCCACGTTAAGCAGATTATTTATTTCGGTTACATGTGCTGTTTAGGCCCATGGCCTTTCATTAAAAAAAGGTCCAGTTGTTACATTGTAGGTCAGTATTTAATGCCACATTTATTGAAGAGGTAATGCAAATGTGTGACCCTGAGTATGCTGAGCCCCTGAACTAATGACATGGAACTTGTGATATCATTTCTGTGCAGGAACTGGGAAGCGATGTGAACTTGTATGCTCTGGTGTTCGGCGAATCTGTTTTAAACGATGCGGTCTGTTTTTACTTGTTTCCAGTGCATGCAAGTATAGTCAGTACTTCCTCGTGCCAATGACTAACTTGTATGTCTTCCTATTTGGAGAGTGCAGATGGCAATTTCTCTTTACAGGTTTACTTCTATCAATGAGCCTGTTACATAATTCGTCCAAAATGTGCACTTCTTGCTTATGTCTGTTATTTTCTTCAGAACAATGTCATCAGTCAGGAGTAATGCAGCAGGAGGCGAGAACATTTTTATGATGATTCTACAGTTCCTTGAGATCTTTGTTGGTTCAATGTCATCAGGTTAGCACCAGTGCCGAAGATAACACTTTTCAATTGGATGTAGGACTGCCATGACCATACACACTTAGTTACACATGTTGGGCACTTAATAGCTAGAACATCCTATATATACCAAAGAGAGCGGTCCCCACTACTTCTAATTATCTCAACATGCGTGCTTCCACATCATCAAAATCGTTGTAGCCGTTAGATTTACTAGCTTAATCCACTAGCAACTGTCCGATGCACGTATGAGAATCCTCTACCATGCAACATGCATTAGTGCATCTAAGTGGGTTTTAAAAACATTGCTTCCACATCATCAAATAGTTATAACCGTTAGATTTACTAGCTTAAACCATTAGCATCCGTCTCATCTACACATGAGAATTCTCTTCCATCCAACATACATTACTGCATTCTAAGTGGGTTTTAAATGAAATTGCATTTTATTGTGACATGCACAACTTTTCATTTTAAGATATTTTGATTATGCAGAAATTTCTCACATAGCATTTCTATGATTTGCAGGTGTCGGAGTTGGATTTATCTCTGCTCTTATATCCTTCCCCCTTGTGTTGCATACAAAACTCTAGTTGCAAGTTTGCTTCATATGATGTCTATAATTCATATTCCGTATGTTCTATTGAACTTCACAGTACTGTTGCTTCTAGTCCTAGACAACTGTTACTAGACAAGTGTTGTTCTTAGATAGCTGCAACCAAGAAAAGTTGGTACAATCTACATAATATTATCTCGTTTCCTGTTGTTCGCATCACATACCCTTTTTCCCCTAGTGGAACATGCATCGCCATTCTTGTTTGGTGCTTTTGAGTGTGTGTGTGCTGGGGAGTGGTGGGTGGAGTACGCTATGTAAATTTGGGTTACTTAGGCATTATTCCATCCCCACCACTTATTATACTGTGTTGATATTGTGATGCCTTGACCACTTGGTACCTATTTAAATATGCGGGATTGGATATTGACAAGTAAGTCATATCATGTTACCTATTTTCAGTCTTCACTTTAAACAAATTGACATATTTTGCCAGTTCTAAAGTTGTGTTATGTTTACTATTTCAGTCTTCAGAACTTGGAGTGCTGCCTTTTTGTTCTCTTCCCATACTTCTCGTAAGGACATTTGAAATTTCACTTTTCCATTTTGGGTACTTTTTCATTGAACTGTTTCACTTTAATTTTTAGGTATATGTTAGCAGAAGGACTTGGCTTGTCAGGAATTGTTTCTATACTATTCACAGGGATGGTAGGAACATTATGAAATTTATTATGTGATATCTAGTTATGTTTTTACTGTGGCTATGTCTCCTGACATCATATTTGCTATTTCTTCTCAGGTTATGAAGCACTATACGTACTCTAATCTGTCAGATAACTCGCAGCGCTTTGTTTCCGCCTTTTTTCACTTGCTGTCATCTTTGGCTGAAACATTTGTGTAAGCCCCGGGAGCACTCCTAATAATTGAGTAATTGGAATATAACCGCGCTCTTTCGTCCTAATTGACTGTTTTTTTTTTCTTTTCAGCTTCATTTATATGGGCTTTGATATTGCCATGGAAGAACATAGTTGGTCACACGTTGGGTTCATCATCTTCTCGATTGTATCCTTTGTTTTACTTTCAAATATCACCAGTTGGATCTATTGAATTCTTTGCTTGAAGTTTGGTTCCTTGACTTAACGATAGATATTCATAATTGTTGCAAGGTACTCCTATGGCTATGCCCTTGTTTCACATACTCCCTCCGTCCCAAATTACTTGTCTTAGATTTGTCAAGATACAGATGTATCTAGACAAGATACGGATGTATCTAACACTAAAACGTGTCTAGATACATCCGTATCTGGACAAATCCAAGACAAGTAATTCGGGGCGGAGGTAATATACAGTACTTACTAAGTTACTAGACACTACAAAGTAGAAAGCACATTTTGTTTAGATCTCACAACTGTGTCCTGCACTGTTTGAGCATTTAGCAATGGTCATATTTTGATGTGTATAAAATACTCATGCCTTGTCACCTTGTTGTTAGTCACATATTTGAATTGAAGTCAAACTGAGTCTGCAATGATGTAGAACATGTAGAAAATAATGCGTGACTTATCCCAACTATCAAATTTGTCATATCCAGGTAAGCTCAGTGGTGAAACAAGCACACTCTCTGACACTCTTTCCTGCAATTTTGTTTCTTTGTAGGGCAGCAAATGTCTTTTCTTGTGCCTACTTGGTTAATATATCACGTCCAGAACATCGGCGTATACCTCTAAATCACCAGAAAGCTCTTTGTTTTAGTGGTGAGTTTCATTATACTGTAGTTGGCAACTTTAGACATATATGATAAAGGCTTCTATAAGGCCAATTTTCATTATTTGGATTTTGGACAAATAGGGCTTAGAGGAGCCATGGCTTTTGCGCTTGCTCTCCAATCTGTGCATGAACTTCCTGAAGGACATGGAAAGACGATATTAACAGCTACCACAGCCATTGTCGTTTTGACGGTATTTGCACATTTTTCACATTCCTTAATTTTGGGCACTAGTCATGAAATGATGAAGCTACCAATTGGAATGGCATTTTTATGTGTATTGCATTTCTACGGATGGCATGATGCCCTGCTTATAATTTTTGCTAGTTGGTCCACTTCTATATTAATTAAGCTTTTATTTTGCTCTGATGTGTATTACAAATGTAGTTTCATAGACCAAACAATTTTGCCGAAATAATTTGGTAAATCTAAGGAGCACATAATCAAGTTGGTACATCCTTTCTGTGCAGTAAAAGTTCTTTGTAAGTGTTGCATACATGGCATTCCTGTGCTATATTTTGGAATAGTTGGCACGTAATTCCATATTACCATCAGATACTCTTAAAGTGAGTTGCACAACTCTCATGAATTACTTGAAATCATGCAGGTTCTTCTTATTGGAGGGTCGACAGGCACCATGTTAGAAGCTTTGGATGTGATTGGTGATGAAAATACATCAATAGAAGTAAGCATTGATTTGGTTTTCTGTTCTAACTACTCATCTATTTTCTATGTTTCTAAAAATATCTCGCATTTTTTCTGAAATATGCTAATTGTTATGATATTAATGTAATGCTGGGATCCACTGGAATTCATATTTTTGGGGGTAATAGCTACTCAGGGTCATATTTTGCTATGGGCCTGTAAAACAATTGCCCTCTAGCTGGGTAGCTGATCATGATTTGTAGGTTCTTATTTATATTGTATTATCATGCTGTGTGGCACAGTTTGCTTGCTTTTGATATTTCCTAGGATAATTTTGGATTTAGGACTAATTTCTGTGTGCCACCATTCTCAGACTTACGAGGATAATAACAATGGTTACATTCCCCCAACTTATGAGGAAGGTACATCGTCTGGAGGAGGGTTGAGAATGAAACTCAAGGAGTTCCACAAAAGGTGCTCGTTGTCAGATAATGCATTTCCATTTGCATACAAAACATTACTCCGCAAACAACTGATTACATTCAAATGATGACACAGCACAACATCGTTCACCGCCCTTGACAAGAACTATCTAACTCCATTTTTCACCAGTCAGACTGATGATGATGCTGATGATTTTGGTAAGTACAAAATATTTCGTCATTCAGTGGCCAGAGTGCCCACATACATGATTATTGCTACACAATGAATTCTTGGTTTGAAGCGTGCTATATTGTGTCATTAGTTTTAGTTTTTCCATCTGAATAATTCATTCAGAGTGTCCCTGAAATTGCTGATTGCTCTCTGCTTGGTTCCCGACAGGTGATCAACCCCAAAACCAGAGACGAGGATTCTATGATCAATAGCAGAGTTTGGGCATGACTAGCTATACACGGTGCCAAGTGCCAATGGACTTAACGATATCGTAGAACGTGGGATCCAGATTGGAACCATCAAACGATATAAACATACACCTTTGCCTTTGTTGAGTAACATATATGGCAGAGCATATTGTAGGATAGAAATCATAAGCCTGATCAGGACAGCATGCCTCCTGTATATATTTACAAGGCTCAAATGGTACATGGTGGGGCCCCAGTTGAAAAGGCAAAGTTCTGTGACGAACTTTGTTGACCCAAGCCCTTGTCTTACACCAGATCATTTGTTTCCAACAGCTCATCGCTGATCACTGCCAACTGCATTGGCTCGGAAAACCCTTGTTGTGAAGTGAACGTACCACGGTTAAACATTACTGTGATGTATTCCAGTGAAATCTAAAACTGTTAGGGGCATAATTAAGCTGTCACGGAAATGCCTGTCATAAAGTGACAATGCATTGAAAGATAAGCCCGTCTTACCTCTGTGGTTCCTGATGTATGTTTGCGGTTGTCTGTTGTTGTGCAAACTGATATCTGCTGTGTCGCTGTCATGTTCTTAGAGCTTTCGACTCCGTATGTTCCTGCTGTCATGTTCTTAGAGCTTTCGACTCCGTATGTTCCTGATGTATGTTTGCCGTTGTCTGTTTTTAATTAAAAAAAACATTTCAGTGTTTCAAAAATTCTGAAGAAAATCCATAGTATCATGTGGATGTATACCGCATCTGTGTAAATTTTCATGGCCAAATACATTTACACGCAAAGTACACAAGAATAACTACTTGGTGATTTTAAAAACAGTTAACAGTAATGCACTGTTCACTATATAAAACCATCCATATGTAAATGTTGAATTCTTTTCAGATTTTTTTAAAACTTTGAAATGCGATATTTGAATGTTAAAAAAAGGCTTCATGGAACCCGAGCACAAAAACGTTGCACTTCTCTTAACAACCCTTGTGACTCCATCTCCTCACGGTATAGTATATACAGCGTGTTTGGTTGGGGTAATTAGAGTTATGGAATGGGAATTGAAGGGGTACGAAACTTCAAATTTATTGTTTGATTAGGAGGACTGAGAGTTCATAAGGGAATAGTCATGAGACTTGAGACTCCAACTTCCATCGTTTTATTAACAGAGGAGGGGGTGAGAGTTTGATGAGGACATCTCTTCTGCCGTTAAACCCGCCGCGACTCCTTCATCAATTCCGTCGGGACCTATGACTAGAGCCCGTATGAGACAGATAAATGGCCAGGTACTATCGCTCATTTATACATATGATTTAGCTGACGAGAATATGATATTACGCTCATGTTCCGATTTACTTGTACTCAGAAACGAAGGTGTTGAAGATCTAACGAGAGAAAGTAATATAAAGCCAGGAGATGGAAAATGTTGCACGTTGACTACACCAGCAGGAGCACTATTGCATGCAAGAACCAATCGAACCATCTATGCTCCATGCTACGTACATGCAAAAGGAGAGAAGGAGGAAGCCAGGTACACACAAGCCCACCTCATCAAATAAGGAAGGAAACCATACAATATTCTATCGACATGTGGGCCGGCCTGATGATGATTATTTTTTCCTTCAAATCGTAGCGGTGTTGGACACGTCAACGCGCAGCTCCTAGACGGCGGCCGTACGGACTTAATAAATAGTTAGCGTTCATCTAGGTTTAGACTCGGGTTTTATTGTATTATCTAGCTTTCGCTATAATTCGCATCTACGAGACGTGTAGGACTACCGCCTTGTCAGATCCACAATGAAACCCCAAATTTTGATATAGTTCATGTGCTTAATTTTTCATCCGCAATTTCAGTTGCAATTCACCTTTGTTCTTGCATGTTCTTCGGTTGCTTGCAGGAACTCGAACCTCGTTGTTCAGGTTGATCGTGCCTACGGCAAGGTCAATAACCATCGAAGATTGGTTTAGCGATTGTATAGCCGGATCGTCAAGGTCAAAATCCATCAAATCGATAGTTATCCCCACTCTCATCGAAAGATCGGGCCGCCGTCACATCAAGTGGTATCAGTTTTTAGGTTCATCAATGAGAGATTTACAGTTTTCGTAGTTTAGTTTATTTTTCTGTCCTATAAACCCAGGAAAAAGCCCAAAAAATTAGATTAGTTCATCCATTACACCTACCTTTTTAGCCTTTAGCAATTTTTGCATCTAGTATTTGCGTAGTTGAATTTTTGGTTGCATACATCCTAGAATTCGTGCTGGTTTAGATTAGTTTGAGAGAAAATTTGTCTACTAGATCTAACCATGTTTTTGTCCACCATATTTTCCGCCACAACTTTCGTTAAAAAAATCAAAGCAAGTTTGCATCGGATTGTTTATACTTTTGCCTATCCTTGCTTGCAATCCGAAGTCGCGTCTGTTTACAAAAAATCATTTGTTGTCCGTTGTTTTCTGTGCGTACACACACAGCGGTCTAATCTCGCGCAGTCGCCCAGACATCAGCCAGCGGGCGTCTGTCCATCCACGCGCTATATACACACACGCAGGTCATCAGACAACTCCTCTCTTGTGTCTGCCTCCACGCGCAATACACCATACATCCAGTGTATCAATATTTGTCACCTTGCGTCGTTGTTAGCTTTTGCATGCAGCTCAATTAGCACAAGTTACAACACTGGCATTTAATTTCTCTTAGCCTCATCTTGATGTACGTAATTTCTGCTAGTAACCGGCTTGAAAAAGAAAAAGAAAAAAAGTGAAGCAAAAGAAAAAAAAGAAAAGGAAAAAAAGACAAAAAAAAGAAGAAAAAAAAGGGTTGCAACATTCAGGCCGGCTAGCACTTTTGGTGCAATCTCTTTTGACGTTTAGAATTGTTCCTCTGCTATACACGTGATACTTGTTGGACATTTTCTTTTGTCGCTCTTGGTCGCCATACGCTACGTTTACACCTCACTTATATCTAGCTATTTAGAGCTATTATATTTTATCGGTTTTCACTCCCTTGATTCAGTATCTAGGCTTAGATTGTTATATCTTTTACTAGTCGACTGCCAACACTAGTTAGGAGTTTGAGCAATTATTCAGCTTGCATTACTTTTTGCTTAATTGTGCCACATATTGTGAGTTGAGGAAACCTTCATCAAGCTCCACTTCCTATATTGTATCTTGTTCGGTCCCTTGGTAATCGCTATATCAATTTTTTGATCACTTTTGACCTCGCCAACGGCCGATAACCACTGCAGCACGGTAAGAACTGGTAAGAGCTTGGTAATTGCTCGAGAGTTGAGAGACATTTTCCACTGCCTCACTGTAGTTACTGTAGGAGCAATATACTTGTGATTTTGTTCTTGTTTCATCCTAACCATGGCAGGTGACGAAGACAACATGAAAGCCACGGTGGCACGCCTTGAGGAGGATGTGCATGCATACACTGAGCGGTTCACATCGTTCGAGGGCGCACTTGATAAGCGTCTCAAGTCGATCGAGGATAGCAATGAGATGTTCACTTAAATACTTGCATCTATTATGAAACATCTCGATGCCCAGGATGCCCGTCTGGGTGCCGCATCCACTGTCGCTCCGCGTCTTCCAGCCACCAACACAGGTCTACCACGAGCTTGTCGGGTGCCCCCAGGGGACCCGAGGCACCCTCTTTCATACACCGATGCCGTCGACCAGCCCCGTCCTCGCAACGCCAACTCGATAGCCGGCGACATCCAAGATGACAACTATGATGGTGATTCCGAGGATCCTGATGTAGTTAATGATAACAATGATCGTGATCATCGTCGCCTACGCACTAATCAACATGGTATGGGACGATACCAGCGTCCTCAGGTACGTGGCCATGACGACTCTTTGGGTAAAATTAAATTTGTCATGCCTTCTTTTGATGGGAAATATGATCCGGATGTTTATCTTGACTGGGAATTATTAGTTGATCAAAAGTTTGCTTGCCATGATTTTCCCGGTGATAAAAGAGTTAGGGCTGCAACTAGTGAGTTTAGTGATTTTGCTTCTGTTTGGTGGAGAGAACATTGTCGTAAACATCCTAATAATATTCCTGCCACTTGGGAAGCTTTGAAATTAGTAATGCGTCACCGTTTTGTTCCTGGATATTATGAACGTGACTTGCTAAATAAACTACAACGCTTGAACCAAGGATCTAAATCTGTTGAAGACTATTATCAAGAATTGCAAATGGGCATGTTACGTTGTGGTTTAGTTGAGACTGAGGAAGCCTCTATGGCTAGGTTCTTGAGTGGATTGAATCGAGAAATTTATGACATACTTGCTTATAAGAATTATCATTCAATGACCCGTTTATTCCATCTTGCTATACATGCTGAACATGAAGTGCAGGGTCGTTCGAGAATGCGTCCTAATTTTTCTTCAGGTCGTACTTCCACATGGGCGACGCGCACCCATGCTGCCCCGTCCACTCGCACCTCTACAACAGCACCCACAACCTCTCGACCGGGGCCTTCTTCATCAACTTCAGCATCACACACTTCGGCACCACTGAAAAGTACTACACAAATTCCAACAAAAAGTTCATCGTCATCATCCACTTCCTCCAAAAGAACAAAGGATATCCAGTGCCACACTTGTAAGGGATTTGGCCATGTCATGAAGGAGTGTCCTAATAAGCGTGTATTGATCATTCGTGAAGACGGCGAGTATGACTCTGCTAGTGATTTTGATGAAGACACATATGCCTTGCTTGCTGCACATGAAGATGATGACACAAGACCAGAGCAAGAGGAAGAACATGTGACCGCCGACGACGCCGATAAGCACATGAGTCTTATATCACATCGTGTACTTAGTGCTCAGATTGTCAAAGCAAAGAAGGATCAACGTCACAACCTATTCCACATCAAAGGAGTCGTCAAGGAGCGTTCCGTTCGCATAATCATTGATGGAGGGATCTGTAACAATTTAGCAAGCATTGACATGGTGGAGAAGCTCTCCCTACCTTCCCGACAACATCCACAACCTTACTACATTCAATGGTTTAA